TAACCCACAAACAATTTGCTTAAGTGGTTTATAAATATAGGTACCATGGGACCATGTTGCAGTAGTCAGAGTGGCTGAGGCAACCCTAAGTAGATTTTCACTGCTTAGATCACGCTCCCTTCGCCTTCCCACACTGACACAGATGTGAGGGTGAAGGGAGACCGCAAAGAGGTATTAAGGGATGCATGTACCAGCTACCTTAAATCGAAGCTGGGCATATACAAAGAGTGTGCATCTGATTTCTCTCTCGTGACTATCCACTAGGAAATTCTGCCCTGCTTTACATCAGAACTTCCTTCAAAATTGTAATGAAGATGGTATGTGGCACTTAGTAGGCAGAGACTTATGCTCTCTGGTAGTTCTTCACTTCTTAAGTAACCCAAAGTTCCCCAGTGAAGAAGAATTTCTCAGGAAATCCACAGGAAGAGACTCCGGATCATGCAGCACGTTCACTGAATTGCTTACTGAGAAAGCTGCCATGAAATGGCAGTGGAGAAGATGAAGTCTGAGCTGCTGCTGAAACCGGGGCATTCTCTGTTTTATTTTCCACAGGAGCTGATTTGTGAGTAGACCCAGCCATGCCTCTTTGATCCAGTAGCTGCTCGTTAGAAGTCCATAGGGAACTGGCAAAGCGGGGAGAGATCTAAGTCTTGAGCAAGTATGAATATGCTTGGCAGTCTGCAGCAGGGAGTAAGGAAAATTCAGAGCTAAGTGCCAGTGAGAGAGTAACAAAGCCCCTTGCAGCTTACAAGTGAGTGTGGGCAGGAAGATCAGAAAACTCAAGAGACGCATGGCATTGTGGGGAGAGGCTCAATGTCACAGCAGCATGCAATTAGGCTGCAACGGCACTGCAAAGTGAGTTTTTTCAGAGGTAGATAGCAGATCAAAGGCATGCCCAGTGGTTGAATAGAGCTTATCTGCCTGTGCTGGACTTGCTGCAGTCCAGGGATTTTTCAAGATGTATGGCCAAATGGCACAGTCATGAACATAGGTCTGGATGTGCCCCTAACCATTAGCAGTCAGTCTGCATCACCTACTTAGACCACAAATTTTAGAAATGTTAAAGATAACAGTTGGCAGTTATCACGGTGGGACCTGAGGCATCATTGTATTAAACATTAATTTGGTCGAAAAATAATCCATAAACAGATATAGATGGAATATTTCTGGATGGATGTTCTATTTGCTGAGAAAACACTGGTAAAGGACAATAAAACAAAAACTTTGAAAGTAAAGTCAGACTCCTGTGGCTTCAGCAGTCCTTCTGAGGACGGGTAACCTGGCTTACAGGTCCTGGCAATTGCACACACAGGCAGATGTTGTCTCACGGTGTGATCCTGAGACAGTTGATCTGGGAGGGAGAGCCAGCCTTATACCTCCCTTCCCATTCCCTCTGCAGAATCACGACCTCAGCCAGCGGGACACGTGGCTGCATCTGCCCTCAGTCCGTGTGAACAGATGGTATTCTCCCAACCCATGGCCCAGCCACCGGGGCAACATCTGTATGGATACTAATTAGCAAGCCCACAGCCAGATGAGGAAACGAAGGCAGCCAAACACAGCTCCCTAGCACATGGCCGTACAGCCAGGTCTCGAGGCCTGCCAGACAGGTTGGTGTAAACACACATTAACTCATACATCGCCACACAGCTATAGAGCTCTAGCTCTTGCTTTCACGTTTAGATACAGAACAATACAAGCCAGAAACCAGCTAATTAACCTTGGCAGATAAGAGAGCTGTCACCAAAAGATCTCAGAGCTCTTTTCAAAGGAAGGAAATAACCCAGCACACAAGGGGAGATACTCATGCACAGAGCAGGGATGTGACTACCCCAGGAGGCTGAGAACAACCATCTCCTGAACTCACCACAACTGCTTCTGCCCATGAGCAGAAAGGCCTAAAGGGCTGTAGGGAGCAGAGCTGGTCGTTCCCTCTTTTGTGCTAAAAATTAGTGTCCACCCCAACCCCTCTCTGTGGTGAAAGGGCATTGCGGTACTGATAGCATCACCTTTCTGCTGGGTTACAGCAACAGAGAGACTGAGAATTTATACTCACTTAAAGCCCTTGGCTGCTTTTTATGTGGCTGGAGCTAAATCCCAGCTTCAGCGAGCAATTTTCTTCTGTCGAACAAAATTTCTACTTCTTTTAATTCTTTGAATACTTTTTCCAGTTTCCTGTCTTTAACTGCCACATAACACGGCTATGCATAACTAGATACTAATTATTATTATTGCTGCCTCACAGAAGAAGAGTCTGAAGAAAGGGCAATACCAACACTAAACAGACTTGTCTCAGAACTGGGTTTAGGTTCTGTTTTCTGCCCTCTGTGGCAACAGATATCCGCACAGTCTTGAGAGCCACTCATCAGGTAGTCAGCACGTTCTGTGCACTGTAAGGCTGCACCTTATAGCTCTACATGGTAAGGCCTAGAGCTTCCTAATGTGGTGGGTTTGTTTTGTTTAGTTTTAATGGGAACTAGAGCAAGGGGAAAAAAAAAGCAAAGCACTAAGGCTGTAAAGTTAAGCAAGCACTCAGATGTTGGGAAATGAGAATAGAAACTTTTGTTGCTTTCAGTTGAAGCAGGTTCTGTCTCAACAGATTTCAAGCAGTCTTTCCTCCAAGAGGTCAGAAGTATCCCAAGATGAGCTATGCTACTTCTCACCCAGCTCCAAAACACAGTAATTGGCAACTTAGTGTGTTTGCCAGCAAGGATGGCGATATCTGTCATAAGGCGGCCACGTGTATTTCTCATGTTGCTGACTGAGGCATGTTGAATGGTCAGGACTTTTGCTTAGTGTCTTAATACCAGCTATTTCTTTAAGAATTTCCACTCCCATTTTCTTAATGCTAGAGACCACCCAGGGCCTTCTGCTCCTGGGCCTGAAGTGCACCTCCGCTGGTTTTGCATTTGTAATATTTTAGAGAGGGACTATGAGCACAGGCATATGTGAAGAGCAACAGCAACAAGAAATCCTGCTTGCCTATGAAAGGTTTAAATAAACTGACGTAAATCCTGAGTAAATTCTGCTCCTGGGAGCAGAAGTGTCAAAACTAGCCATTTAGGCTATTGTTTTATTATCTGGACAGGTTATAGGGCAGTGAATGAGCACACAGAATCCACCAAGAAAGCTCTTGCAGGAAAACTTAACCCTAAATTCCACTCCTGTAAAGATGTTCACTGAAGGTATATTGAAAGCAAAATTTAAAACACGCTAATAGGTTTTTATTGAGATCTATCTTATTTGACTTGTGTTTGGAAGGTTGGACAAGGAAGGAGCAGTGAGGGGTTCAGGGATATGTAGCAGCAGAATCAAGGAAGAATGGCTTTGAGCTTATGGCTTGGACATGAGACAGAAATTTTACATATCAAAGTATGTAATAAGCAATGACCTTATTGCACTGCTGCAGGTAAAAATTGGGATGGTTTTTTTTTTTCGTTTTTGCTAATGATCACACAGCTTTCTCCGGGGTTTCCTTCCTAATTTTTAAAGTTCCCATTTTCTGCTGTAGTAATTTGATTATTTGACTCCAAAACAGTAGTGTGGCTAACATTGATTTGATCACTGTACTGCTCGAAACTTCATTCTCTGTACCAATACAATTCCTTCCTGTTTATTTTTATTTGATAACATTTACAGAAAGGACTCAGTCATTTTCTCTTTCTATAATTAGCAAGGATGAAACCAATAGAGAATTGGTTATCCTAAGAGCCTAAGCAGGTCTCTCGTAAATTAATTGCTGGTTCACAGATTCACTAGAGATTTTCTTTCAAAATGATACAGTATTTTTTCTACAGAATCTCACCTCAACTCAAGATCCCTGATAGGTCTGTTTGGGGAATGAATGGACACTTGTGGCAAAAGAGGTTACTGGTACAGGACTCGGCCAGGTTGGATGGGGCTTTGGGCAGCCTGGTCTAGTGGAGGGTGTCCCTGCCCATGGCAGGGGGGGAGTGGAACTAGATGGTCTTTGAGGTCCCTTCCAACCCAAACCATTCTGTGATTCTATGACTCTTGTCTCATATGGTGAAGAAAGCTGAGAGATGTGTAACGAATGAGGATGGGGATTCCAGAAAGAGAAATGAAAGTTTCACTGTTAAAGCAGTTGAACTCTATTGTGAAGAATGAGATTCTCTCCTCACATTTGCCATAAAACACCTATGAAAAACAGAGTCTTTACGGAAGGTCACTTCCATTTTGTGCTTTTCATGTTTTTTACTGGCACTGAGTCAAGGTCCTGAATTCAGATTTACACAAGTGCAGAATACTTACACCTTAATTGAAACATACTTTAAACATCTCATCTAGGGGGTGAGGGGGAAGGCAGCTTCCCACCCAAAATATTCAAATCTTTGGGAATTGAAAATCAAATATCCCAAATTAGCAGATACTCAAGATAAATTTGTGCTTCAATTCTCTCTGAAGAGAAATAACAACTCTGCTTTAATTCACAGTGTTTTTGTGAACATGAAAATGAGTAAGCAAAGAAAAATGTGTATGAGAAAATCAATACTTTTTTTTAATAGATTTTGGATAGTGCACATTAAATCAGGAAAAGGGCCACCCACTTCCTGAATACTGCAAATTTTTGTTTGCAGAACACTGAGAAGCCATTTTTATTCCTTTGCAGATCATGTAGGGTTATTTGTGCTTGTTATTAACATGATGCACATTTGCATGCTAGCCAGGTCTGTCCTTCCAATTCCTGCTCAGTGCCTATTCAGTGAACCAAAATGCAGGCACTCCTAATTTCCCCACACAGTTTAGACCAAACGTGTGATAAACCTGCTGCATCTCCACCTCCTGATCCCATCCCTTTCAACAGCAAATGGCTTCCAAAAATATTAAGGGCAGAGACAGGAGATTTGGCTATGGGCTTTGGCCTGGCAGGCTGTGCTCACCCCAGTTCTCTTTCTGTAAGCACTACCACAGATCTGAAGGAGCAAAAAAGTAGTAATAATAATAATAATAATAATAGTAATAAAAATTGCTGTGCCCACCTCAGCCAGAGCAGCAGAGAAGTGATTACAGTTCTTGTGCATCAGGTGGTACGCATTGCCTTTGTACTCCTTGCCCAGCTCTTCCATAATCTTATCCACATCTTCTTCTGTGAAGTCTGTAGTGCCCAAGGCAATGGATTCTCTAGTTAAAAACAAAACACACAACAGGAAACATGGAAAGATACAGTGAAGACAGTGATACATACCCAGGGAAAGGAAAATGATCAGACATTGGCAAGGACAGACTTAAAACATGGACATGCATGTCTGGGGCTATCAGAGACACCCACAAACACAATGGCACAGTAATATCCCCAGCTTATCCCCAAAGCAGGTTACAGCACAGGCAACAGCTCTGAGAGCTTCCTGCTCACCACCAGTGAAGTCTCAGCTCTGGGGGTCTGCTCCCACTCTGACCATCAGCCCTCAGAAGAAACTTCCAGTAGGACAAAGGAGATGATTTTCTCATGATGGAGAGGGTTTCCGTGGGGTGGACCAGGCGGGAGCAGACCGAGAACCTTATGCAGAAACGTATTGCTTCTCCCAATACTCACTCAATACTGCTCATGCTTCTAAAAGTCTCCAACATCCCTCTACATAAACTGGCAGTCTGGGAAGGCCAAGCCCCACTTGCCATGGGCAGTCCCTTGACCTGCAGCCCCACAGTCTGAGTGCCTTGAACATGTTAATGCAGCATCCTCTCAGACTCCTCTAGCAGCTGGCCTGTCCCTTGTGACAGAGTAGCAATAAACACAGGAGATGACTTCTGGTACTCTGGGCAGTACCCATAAATAGGTGATACTCATAAAAAGATGAGGTTTTGGTTTTTTCCTCTGTGCACTGGCTCAGTGTAACACACAGTTACTCCTGTTCTTGCTGGCAGGTGAAACCGGGAGCACAGAAAACAAAGGAAATGGGAAAAGAGAACTGCATTCATTTGTAAGTATGCTTTTAAACCCTGTCAAACGCAGTTCAGCACTTCCCTGTTTGGTGTACGCACTCTTTTATCCACCTCCAAAATCCCTGCAGGGCTGCCTTTGAGCCATGTAAAGGATGGTTTACTGCATGCAAAGGATGCAGGGAGAGCATTTATGAGGAGAGGGGAAGGAGGACCCAGAGGAGAGGACTTCCCTGCTGTCCCTATACCCATGGCTATCAGGAGGGAGAGGGGAAGAGGTAGAAAAGGGCCCTTACTTGAATTTAAAGGTCTCGCCAAGTTCTACCGCACTGCCAGGTGTGATCTCGAAAATCCCACTGAAAGGGTAGGGATGCCCTCCATAGGCAAACTCTGACAAGGAAAGAAACAGACTGTGAGTAATCGAATGAACACAATGTCACGAAAAAGTCTATGGCAGCTGTCTGCATGGCTCAGCATCAGCACCAGGGGCTGGGCTATTGCCAACATCGGTTTCAGCCAGACTCTGAAAGCTTTTTTTCCTCTGTCCGGTTACCTGTCAGCCTGAGGATACCCTCACAGCCTCCCTCCATGCTAACACTACTGCTTTCCCACAGCGCCAGGCAAACTCCCTGAGTCTGCCTCTGTGCCTGCCCAGATGCCTTCCTCTCACTGGAAAGTTCTGTGGTGGAGGCATCTAGAAACACTACGAGAAGCTGGTGGTGGTGGTACCGAGCTGGAAGAAGTCTTTTCTGGAGTAGGAAGAAATCACTCCTCTTCTGGAGGGTTTTACAGGCAGAAACCAGGAATTCTTTGTAGAAAGCCAAGCTGATTGTGCTCTGCTGCCTCAGCATGTGGGTTGAGTCAGGAGGTCCCTCCATGCTATATAGGCCACGTTGCATGGCCTGGGAAACACAACCTGCGGACCTCACGGTGTCACGCACGGCATCTCACACGGCCTGTGAAACCTTCTGTGCTCGAGATGGAACATGGCACCCCAGCGGGGTTATTTACTGCATGGCACTGGCTAAAAATACCGTGAGTGAGATAGCCCAAGTCATTCTCATTTAATGCTGAAGAAGGAAATGGAAAGTCTGTGATGCTAGTCTGTCCTTCACAGCACTACAGCTGCTTTCCCACATCCCTTGGCTGCTCCTTTTGCAATGGGTGCGCTAATCAGCTTCAATCCCATCCAGACCATTTCAAAAGTTTTACAAGACATTTTCTTTTCCTTGTAACTCTGCTGTTTCAAAAGAACGGTTTCCAAGATCTGGAAATCCAGATACCATTATTTCTAGACCATAGACATTTGTAAAGAATTACTACAAAACTGATTTATCCTGAGGTGGAATTAGCACAAACATTTATAGGCAAGTCTCATGACAGCTACTGATCCGTCTTTCTCTTCCCCCTCCCCTATTTCTCCCCTTCTCTCTCCCCCTCCTTCACTGCAGAACAGCTTTTCAGCATTACTCGTTCCCTCCTGTCTGCCATCCTGCTACGTACCTGCAGAAGCTATAGAGGCTGCAGTTACATGCTGAAAGTAAGAAGAGCTACATGGTTCATGACAGAACTGCACAAGTTCCTGCTGGACTCCACAATGGACTCTAAAAAGAGAACTGGCTGAGTTTTTCACTCCTCAAAACATTCCTTGCCAAAAGCTATAAGTTTGGGGTGCTTTTCTGTCTCAGACTAGCCATACAGTTGTCCCCATGTTCTGCAGGTAGTGAAAAGAAAATATTTCATACCTCTGCCGTAGATCTCGATGCCAGAGTGGAAGACACCAATCCCCAAGGTGGAGGTGTATTCATTTATCCAGTACTACAGTAAAAGAAAAGCCACATTTGGACGCATTAGTGGAAAGAAACACACTGTCTTGGTCTAGGACATATCCCCCATCTCCTATCCTCAGGGCAACTTCTCTTAAGAACAAGACTGATTTTGAAATTATCTTGAGACAAACATATTGAGATTCCTTACACACCAACAGGCACTGTGTTTATACAGCTGACTAGGATTAGGTCTCCAAAAAACGCTCATCTAGCCCTTTCAATGCAAGGCATTTCCCTGTATTCCCTGATATAACTGGACCTGAACCTGCATCAGTCCAGCTGCTACAGGATGTGTGACTATCTATCTTCTCCCTTAAATAGCTGACACCGAGACAGTTTTGCCAATTCATGTGTCTTACCTGATCTTCAAAATCTTGAGTTAAAGAATCCCCAAATATTTTCTGCACACCATTTTACATCAACTCCCAACATCTACTTTTTATTAAGTTGGTTTTAGGCAATGAGATCTTGGAGACAGAGAGCCATTCCTCCCGTAGGTCAGAGGAGCACTATTTAGTAGTTATCTATATGACACTGGTAACTGCTTTATAGGAAAAAAGAAGCTCCGAGCTTACTAGTCATCATTTTGCTTAGATGCACCATATACTATCAAACATCATTTCCAGAAGGGACAAGAGCTTGCTGCCTCAAAATTAGGTCCAAGGTGACCACAACTTCAGCCAAGTCCAAGACAAATTTTCAAGAGGAGCTGTTAAGTGACTTCATTGCTCTGGAGTCCAGCACTTCGCCAGTACATTTAGAGCAGAGGAATACTGCAGTCCGGTGCGTGCAAGTGACACTCCTCCACCAAACACTGCTCGCTGTTTCCACCATACCATGAAGGACAATGCAGACACCCAAACAAGTCCCAGCTAAGCTAATTCTGGAGTGGGAAGCCACACAGCCACGCCAGGGCAGTGCTGCATTGGAGATAATTAGCCCTGCTCAGCACCAGTATTTATTAGTTTAGCTGCAGAGCTGTGCTGCTACAGAAATGATGTTTTCAGGCAATGAGTGGAAACTGCCCGTGCCTGGTATATTTACAGTTCACTTACGGCTACTGGGCAGTGAAGATGCATCTCTAGTAACTCAGAGCAACTGAATTCTTATTGTAATCTTGCACTGCAAGAAAAGTGAGTGTTGTTCACTTGTCCTCGTACAATGATATGACAGGTTCATTGAGCTAAAATTCTCTTTTGCGTCTGGTAGCTGCTTCTGGTGGAGCCAGGATAAGCTGCACCTTCCCTGGTGTCTGGTGTCACTGAGTGCCATGAGCAAGAACCCCTCTGTCGTCAGGTAACCAGAGGTCTGGCATACTCCATCTACTTTCCTCACACTGCTTGCTCATGTATTTTTGATGACTGCAGTAGCTCTGTAAATCACCTAGAAATGGTTTCTGCGAGACCACTGCTACTGTGGAAAAACACAGTAGCTTTGATATGAAAAGTGCAGTCCCAAGCCTGACGTAATATATAGCCAGTCTTGATACCTTAAACCATGTCCCCCAAAATGCTTGCCTCTGAGAGTACAGCAGTTCCCTTTCCCTCCAGAAAATGCTGTAATGCTTCTTGTTCTTTGTGAGTTTTGGTATCACAAATGATGTATTACTGCAGGAAGGCAGCAAACCACCTGACCCTAGCTGGACCCCTGCCCACTGCTCTCTTCAGACCTTGTATAACCTCCACTTACCTCTTCACTTGAATTATGCAAACTCTTGTTTTTAGGATACATCAGAGCATTGGACTGAAGCTAGGTCAGGTAGGTCTCAACCTCTGCCAGCACATTAGCAGTGAACCCTCTGTTGAGCACTATGCCTGGTATTTAGGGACATGATGTGCCCTTGCTTCCTGCTGCCCTTCTCCACAGATCTCTG